TAGATGAAATGATGATTAGGTAAGAGTCCTAAGTTTCGAATACACGCTACGACGACGCGACCACTGTAACAACCAGAAATCTATATGACAAAAATCTTATTCTTGAAAAGTATCCATTAAAATTTCTTAGAGTCTAAAAGTCCAAGCAATCACAGATAAAAAATAAGTAAATCACAGATATGAACCACACGTCCGAATTTTTCTACAGAACTAGTGCAACTATTGAGAATCAAGTTCAACGACCATGAAAAGACCACCTGTCCCAAGAACATTCATTTGTGATCTTAATTGTTTCGATATTTGCAAAGCCCTATGTTCAAGGACTGTCTTAGATTTGAAGTAAACCGTGAGGATTAAGGCAATTCTTGCTAATGTTCCCGAAGCATCAGGAAAGAAAACTGGTATCTCATCAATTCTTGTAATAACGGCAATAAATTTTAACAGAGATTAGGAAATATAATTGATCTTCTGTTTTAGGCAAAAAGTGCACATTCATTCATACAATTCTTGGCGCGTCTTCAGCATAGAAGAAAAAAAGTCGGATGAGAGAAAAGCTTACATGACAAAGTACGATGTACCATCAACATAAAGATTGGGAAAGCACATCCTTACGGAGCAGAATTCTTACTGAAAAAACTGAATCACTACTTATTAACTTACATATTTCTCGTCCAAACTCGACTTTCTATCAGTTTCTAGACCAGCTATTTTGGGAAAATACTGTAATAGTTACAACACTTCCTACCCATTAAAATAAGAGTACATGCAGTAGTTAACAAGCATTATTTCAGATTTACATCATAAAAATGTCCAGTCTTGCCCAGTAGTGCCTAGATAGTTTAAAAGGATCTAAATTAGTATAAACTCAGAACTCAACGAAGAAGCGTATAAACAAGTAGGAGATGGAATTATATACTGGTATTAAAGCATTAAAATCAGGACAAGTTTGAACTCGCTTCTGAGACCTTATTCCGTCAGCTCTGATTTCAAATTTCTGTCTCAACAATTCAAAGAATTTTTTCGTCGTAAAAGATTTATAATTTTTACAGCGCAAAAACGACATTAACTATCATTAATTTTTTACTCACCGTCACATTTTTTCACACGTCTGGAGATGTTTGAGTATTCTTTATGTTCCAGTTTCAAGTGTTGCACAGCATGCTCTAAATTGGTGATCTTCTTCTGTTTCAGTTAGTTAGGCTGGAGGTTTTCTGTCTTCTTTTAAAAAGTCAGTTCATTGTAGTTTGATCGAAAGTCCTGTAAGACAAGTCAAAAGAAAATAATTAGGAAATGGCTGTTAAATAAAGCAAAAGAAAAAAGGTCAAAGGAAGGGTAGAGTCGGCAGTAGTTATTAGGTGTTGAGCTGGGCTTTGTCTTACTACTCAGAAGTATAACAGGGCAATAGGAGCTCTCATATTTCTTCCAGTGTTTTTTTTCCCGTGTGTCAACAGTGCAGAAGATGATATCTTATACAACTGTATACTAAACATTAATTTTACTTCACAGTTTCAGGATAATGGGAGATCATTATGGGTTTTCTCTAACAACATTTAGGTAAAGGCTTTCGCATAATATCTATTTTTTATGTTTTCATTACATAAATTTCTGGCACTTTTGTTTTGATTCTGAACTACTTTTCTCACATTTCTAGTCCTTCTGGGAAACTGATGCAAATAGAATACGCACTTAATGCTGTCAAGAACGGGCAACCATCGGTCGGTCTTAGAGGTAAGGTCTTTGGCTGTTTATTGTGGGCTAATTTCAAAGTAAAGCAGCTTTTGCTTTTTTTTATACGTTATGCAGTTTTGAAGTAGAACTATTGCATGTAGCTATAAAGTTGGAAACTTTTGTACATTCTCCCTCTGTAATGGAAAGCATGATTCATTGAATGCATAAATTCTAGTTTATTATTGTAGTATCGTTTTTTTTTTTAAAGACATTTTTTGATTCTTCTTTTTCTAAGTAATACGAGAAGAAAACAGCCTTTTTTAAAGCATCTGATGGCGTAGTGTTGGCTACAGAAAATAAGGCGTCGGTTTTATATGAAGATCAGCCAAAAATTGAGAAAATCAGCGACCATATCGGATGCGTGTACAGTGGTATGGGACCGGATTACAGGTGGTGAAAACCTTTGGTTGCAGTTTTTCATCGGTCATCTTCAAAAATAACATTTCTTTTTTGAAGGATCCTAGTCAAAAAAGCTCGGAAGATTGCAATGACGTATGAGTTAATGTACGGAGAAGAAATCCCTACTACACAGCTGGTTACGAGGTTGGCTTCCGTGATGCAAGAGTACACCCAGTCAGGGCAAGTGATATTTATTTGGATGGATATCTAGGCTTCCTGCTTATTAAGAAGCTCTGTTTATAGAGTACTTTACTTGTTAGAAGTAACTGTTTTTAGTGGAGTACGACCATTTGGAGTCTCACTCTTAATTGCCGGTTGGGATTCTAGCGGCGAATCTGCTCGGCCGCTTCTTTTCCAGTGCGACCCTTCGGTAACTGATTGTTAATTTGGATTTCTTCAACATTTTGTTTTACATTATAATAAAGATTTGACTTTTTAGGGTGCATATTTTGCTTGGAAAGCCACAGCACTGGGTAAGAACGATGTTAATGCAAAAACTTTTTTGGAAAGAAGGTTCAGTGATGCACTTGAGCTGGATGATGGAATTCATACAGCGTTACTAACCTTGAGGGAGAGTTTCGATGTTGGAATGACTGATGATAATGTTGAAATTGCGGTATGTGATAAAAACGGCTTTCATAGGCTGACTAAGCAGCAACTGAAAGACCATCTTGGGGCGTTATAAGTCCCGTAATGTATTTGTAGAAGTTTTTCTTAAGCATATTTTTTGTAAGGCAAGGTACACGTGATAGCCACATATCGATGACCAAATCTCTTCTTATAGACTTGATGAAGAATTTATGGTCTTCCTCCTCTGTTTCTTCGTGTACCTTGCTTTCTTGTGTTGTTCGTTTGATGAAGTTGTTTTTATAAGAGCTGTCTTTGTTGAATTTCAGATTTTATTGTACTTTGTTGGAATTAATAAATTATCTTCACTTCATCTTTTTTTTTCTTTTTGAGGAGGGAAGTAGGGTTTTATTTAAAGCCCTATATTATATGTTCGAAATGTAAGTTCTGCACAGCGTGCTACTGTCATAGTTTGAAGGTAATTAAGCCAGGTTGCTATGAATCTTACTTGTGAGAGTAATAATAAGAAAAATTATCAGGCTTCGATTAAAATCATCATTTTTCATTTCATATTTGGGAAGTCATTTGTAGAGTTACCAAAGGAAAAGTGAGATTCGAGTGTCCGGGTAATTCCCAGTTTGTTATTATGAAACGTTTAATTTGGAGCTTTCTCTATCTGTTAACAGGTGTGGTGGGTTATATTTTTTGAAATTTCTGGTACTGTTAGAGTTGGTATTTTTAACAATAGCGAACTGCACCCAGCTGGTCAGTTCCTAGCAGGGAAGTTCAGACGGTTACTGATAGTGGGCGTTTCTCGACAGCTTCGTTAAGTTACGAAGTGATTATGTGTTCAGGTGCAGTCCCTGACCTAAGTTATTTCGTGGTAGCTGTAAAAAGTGTTGGAATTTGAGGCTTCATGTTAAGCTGCGAGCAGGCTGCAAAGAATTTGATCAATCGTCCTGGTTTTGTAAATCTCAAACCTTGCTGCTTTTGAAATGTTTAAACTTTAATTGTTGTGGCGAGTTATTAGGGTTGGTCTATGTTTTTCATTGTATGTTTTTCACACTTCTATAAAATAGTGTAGGTTTTAAGACTTTTTCTTACTCTGTTAATTTCAGGTTTATTAAACGGTCTAATCAGTTTTCCACTCCAAAAATTGAAGGATGGAAAGGCCCAAGTGAGTCTTTCGAGATAAATAAATGGAAAATAGAACTTTTAAAATGATAACGTTTGTGGTAGCTTAACTCTTTATTTTTGCACCTCTTTTTTTTTCTTTTTTTTGTTGTTGTCGTTCGTATATCTGTGCGTTTATGAGGACAGTCAAATTCACTCTTCAGGTTAATGAATATATTTAGATACGACTTTTATCAGACGGAGGATAAGGTTATAATCACAATTTTAAAGAAGGGCTTGGAGTCAAGTCAGTGCAAAGTGGCATATGATGATGCTACCTTGACGGTGTACGCTGGAGATGAAATTATATTTGATACTGAATTGCTATATCCTGTAATGGCTGATAACATACAGTTGAAGTGTAGCAACTCAATGGTACAGTTTTTGATAACCTGGGGAAGTTCTACTGTGTGAAAAAGTAAATATGGTTCTTCATATTCTAGGTTGAAGTTACGCTGAAAAAGATAATTGCGCAACACTGGGAAACGTTGGAGAGGAAGAAGCCGGTTGAAATGAAAAAAAAGGTTTAATTTCTTGTTAGAATTTGCTTGCTCAAATGGGAGTTAATTCTGCCTTAAATACAACTCGTTTGTCGGTTACAGGTTGTTTAGGTCTGTTGAAAAAGTTACGATATACTCTTCAAGCTGAATGCTTTTCAGCAACTAATAAACTGGGACAAGTTGGCAAAAGAAGCCGAAGAAGATGAAGAAAAAGCTGAGGGGGAGAACTCAGTCAACAAACTTTTTCAGGCAAGTTTCTGCAATTGTCAGCTAACCAGCAAGTTGTATCTCTCGTTTGGTCGTGACACGACCAGTTTTTTAATTTATTGGAATTTTGTTTTTCCAATGAAAGTGTGTTTCAGAAAATTTATGCTGAGTCCAGCGATGATGTTAAAAAAGCAATGTTGAAATCATATACTGAGAGTGCAGGAACTGTGTTAAGCACCAACTGGAATGATATAAAGTCAAAGAAAACTGAAATAAAGCCACCAGAAGGTATGGAGTTCAAGAAATGGTAGAATATTGTATGTGTTGGACTCGAAATTGTGGAATGATTAATGATTTTAACTTTTATTTCAATTTTTGCAGCAAGTTTTAT